CGCTGTTAACCGTACGTTTTTTATTTTTTTTACAGTCAAATAGAGTTCAAAAGACTTAATAATATCAGAAAGTAGGATTAGTTTTAAGTGCGGTATTATGGGACTAAAATATGTTGTGGAGTAGGTACTACACTACGTATTACGCTGTATAGTATAGGTCCAGACTTTGTGAATAGATCGAAACTACTTTTCTGAAAATAAGTAAGTTTAAAAAAATACTTTTAATTATTTATAACACGAATTATTTTTAATGCATTATAACAGCGGTCTGGGGTTACAGATGATTTTCAGCAGCTGTGGTCATGGAGGGATTTCGTCTAAATACTGACTTTCGTCTCAATATATATGTTGGTACTCAATATAATTGAGGTACTCTAGGTACATTTGAGAATTTTGGACGTTATTTAAAGACCGTCTTCTTCAATAATATTAATTTGATTAAATTTTGCGTAGTGTGTAAATTTATTACAGACAAAACGACATTTCGCACCTAATACGGGTATGAAAGCTTTTAGAATGGACATAAACATTACAGCTACCCTAAAAGTGATGGGTTAAGAGTTATTTGTATTGTAAGCTGAATTAATTATTAGAAAAATGTTAAGTGCTTTTTAGATTACTGAAATAATAAGATTAAATCTTCAACATCTTTATAGAGCTTTTTACAGCAGTACACATCGGTATCTATTTCACTTATTAATTTAATTTATAGACAAGTACTTAATCTGATTTTTGTTACTTCCCGACCTAAATCATCTATTATGTTTTCCAGGGATTGGAACCATGAACGCTCATAATGCAATAAGTTATCTTCGTTAGCCATTGAGCAATAGAGAAAAATAACTGTGTCTGTAGTTTACACAAGTAGTACACATTAAAAAAAACAAGTTTAAATAATATATTTCGCGTTTTAAGCCGTTACAGTGTTTTATTTAAACGTAAATAACCTTTGAAATTACACATATTGCATGCTTATATTTATCTCGTAGAGATACGTACGTTTTCACAGCTTTGTGTTTTGTGTGTGTGAAAAGTTCAAATTAAGCTTTATACAATTTTTCGTACCCTAAAATACGTATAATAACATCACTTTTCTCTTGTCGTTGTAAGGATCAACAGAAACGATTGGAAATTTCCGAATTTATCGGAAATGAAATGAAGTGGGTCGTATTTTCCATTGCGAAGCCAGTTTGTCGTATTGCAGTTGGTTCTATTGAAATAATTCAGTGGCCGAGTTGGCGTTGCGCCAGTGTTATATCAATATAACAGCTCCTAGCCTACAGCCTACTGTAATCCTTGTTACAATACGGCCGATGTATCTTGGCAGGCTTGATCTATGCTCGAAACGCTGCGCAGAAACGTTCTTTAGGATGTTAACGGTGGTAAGAGCGGGACGAAGATCTAGGCTAGTGATTGACTCAATGTATCAATAAGTTGAAAAAAATCGACGATGAGGTGTAGGACTCGGTAGCTCAATTGGTAGAGCAACAGCACGGAACGCTGACGATGCCGGTTCAAGTCCTGCCCGAGTCGAAATTTTTTTCAATTTATTTTCGATTTTTAAATTATTTCAACAAAAGATTGTTATATTTTTGTTTTGTCTCTGTATTTTAGTGAAAGATAAGTGTTTGTAGCCTTTATTCTCTTTGAATCAATTATTGGTATGTTACTTTTACTTGATATAGGTAAAATTTTTCATTTACCCCAGTAACGAAAATGAATGGCAGTATTAGTTTTCTTTACTAGTGTACACGCGCCAAAGTTAGTCTAACCTCTGTTCAGAGCTGCCAAATTACGTCGGTCGTATTATACGTTAGCTCTTAACCGACTTACGAACAAAGATTATGTTTATGTTTTACAGACGAACAGCAAGGTTTTGCAGAAAAGCGCAAACCCTTTTACAAGCTAACTAAATTTCTTTATTTTATTTTACCATTATAATGATTGTTTTGATTGATTGATTTTTTAAAGTGATTTATAATGCGCTTATCAACAACTTATTAACAGGTTAACAAAAATATATCGTAAGTAATAATAATAATGTGTTACATTACAAATGATAATTGAAATTATAACAATACGTAGTAGATACTATAGTTACTATGAAGAAGTAGATTATAATTTTATAAAACATTGAGAAAAGTTTGTTTCTTTTTACCTTCCCTCGTGTGTGTTCTTTTTTTCTTACCTTAAGTTTGTTAGATCGTGGTTTCATCAGACTTAGTAGATAACGTACGTAAAATTGACGTCCATAAAAATATTAGGCAGTATAATTTCGCATACTTTATAAAATTTTACACATGTATAACTTTGTATGAACCGTTATAATACACAAAAAAAAAGAAGATTTATTTATACGTATAAGACTTTACCCTCGAGGTACTGAAATCTCGTCGCATGCACCACCAATAATGGGAACTCTTCACGTCCCCATTTCATGGCTCCGTAAAAGCTGAACACTTACCGTTATCTACCCATCGAGCATATTGTGCGTTTCAGGTTACAACATTGGGTGCATACGGGAGAGAATTGCGTTGTGAAGCGCTGGCGTTAAACTAACACTTTGTATGTTTATGTAGATTTTTTTATTTTTTTATGTACAGATAACTGTTCTAAATATATTATTGTAGAGGAGGACAGCTAAGGTTCACTGGATGGTTGAAATACCTCATCCATATAATATCTAAACATGTTGCGTTGTCGACCTATTTTGGCTTTGGATATTCGGAAACCTATTATACAAACTGTCACCGAAACGTGATTAAACTTGACGGCTTCTTCGTCTACTGACGGTGATTCGACCGGTACGTATTTAATATCTAGATTATCAGATGAAGCTCATCATGTTTTAGAAAAATTACAAGACCCGTTGAATTTAAGACATACATTTCTACCATAACGCTAAGGTCATTAATCCTTTACATTAATTATGTACATATTTTAACACATTCTAAGATATCTTAAATAATATTATCTCTCTCTCTCGTGTCCAGTTATCCGAATCTATTTCCGTACATTTTATAACACAGAAAATTTCTGTGTTATTTAATCGTCTCAACTAAAACTTAAAGTTGGGGTTAAACCAAGAGCTCTGAACAACATCACTACGTCTTTTTTGCTAAATGTAGCCAGACACAAGTGAAGTTTTAGTGAAATAATAACGTCGCGTTTTAAGACACAATATTCACCCGTGTTATTTCTGAGGTTCTACTGCAATAAAATTTGCATAACTACGCTCCGTAGCACGGCTGCAGTCTTATTAAATTTCCACCCCAGTCATTAACGGTTGTTCCTAACGGTATAGATATAAATCATAAGGTATCATGCAACGACCCGCTGACTTTTATTGCGCCCTCAAGATGGTAAGCCCGAGATTCGGTTCCTGGATTAGAGATAATCCTTTGTTTATACCAATTTTGTTATTAGCGCTTAACGTTACGATTTACGTGGGAGGGTAAGTGTTTAATGGTGTAATCCATAAAGCTTTATGTAATTAAAGTTTTAATGAAATTCAACAATGGAAATCAATGTGAGGGGCTCGTTATCGCAATGTCGCTAATGACCAACGGGACGTGGGTTTGATTCCCACCGGGTCCAACATCTTTTTAATCAATTTATCATTTTTATGGTAGGAATATTGAAATTTCGTCCCGGTTACGAACGACAATCTACAGCTTGCTTTTCGGTGTCTGCTTGTAGATTTCCGAATCTCCAAACAACAGATTATCTTGTTCAGTTTTTATATGGCTAGGGTATTTACCTTCTCCCTGGACCTCTCTGTGGACCCTATGCTTGTTTGTCCTTTATAATAAAAAAAAATGTTTTGTGAAAAAATGTAGGTAGTTTTATGCGTATTAGTATAGTATATTCTTATTTTAAAACCATTTGGCCTTTTTTGTTTTTTATATGACCAGCAGAAGAACGTAATATCAAAACTTTGTTTACGGTTGATACCACCATGACTAACGACAAGAAACTTATTCAGGTATACTCGTGATACATTAAAAAATCAAAAGACAAACATACCAATTTGCCACTATTATAATGTTGTAGCTAAACGAATAGTATCTCAAAGGATATTCAATTTGAAAGCGGTCGAGACAAAGATTGTTAAAACAACTACTTAAAAGTTAAAGCTTGGCTGGCTGTCTTAAGGAGATTTAATTAAGATAAACGGCTATTTTAATTGAGAAAACTTAGGTTAACCCGCTAAGGATTCGTGAGTCTTCTTATTTGGATCTTTGTGTTGGCTTATAAGTAAGTTATAACTATCTAACTAATTACAGTTTCAGTGACATTATGTTATGCGTAAGATTGTAAATAACGTAAAATTTTAAAGTACAAACTAATTAAATAAATGTCAAAAAAGTTTTAATTCACAATGTGTGAAATCATCCAACTTCACAATTAGATGATGTTAAAACAATGTTTCGTGGTTAGAATACTTTAAAATATCTTTTGATTGAAAAAACAATATAAATAAAACACTTCAACGGTTTAAAACGAGAAATATATTATTAAAATTTTTTTGAAAAATATTTTCATACGGCCCGTCGTTTCGAATGCTTTGCAGCAGCCGTGGTCACGGGGAGACTAGAATACTTTTGAAATAAGCTTTCGTTTCGCTTTTTAGACTATTAAAGTGTTTTATATAAATGTATACTACTAGCGTAATCTACAGACAGTATTTAAAAAAATAATTTAACAGTAATCTAATATTGCTATAAAAATAATAAAAATAACTGCTGCAAACTATACTACTTTGTCACTTAGCTCAGAATGTATTGAATAAGACTTTGATTTGAATTCCTATCGTTCAAATACAGCACTTATTTGAGCCCTAATTGGTTTGACATCCACCCACTGCGAAATTAATAGCATGCGTCATCAATATTAAAACAGCTCCGAGATAAATGACCAGACATCATTTAGTATCAAATTACAATCTGTCCACCAATTGCCATTCGTTATTACGCTCTCATTGAATTAAAACACTTGCCATGCGCAGACTCATTGCATTTCTCTACTTAATAACTGTCTCATTAACGGCTAAAGTTAAATGGATACCGAACACAAATTTTAATTTGCCAATAAATTTTAAGGACGGAAAGGTACCCTGTCCTAGACAGACTGTCGTCTTTCCTGACACTCTCAACGGTTATGTCAACATCGATTCGCTGGTGGAAGGCAATGAATTAATTCTACCTATAGATGGAGAGTTCCTTCTATCCGAAGGTGGTATAGAGCTGGGAGGGAATTATGATAATTGTACAGATACAAGAAATGTGTACTTTTTAGAAAAATCTGTCTCGTCCTGGGCTCAGCCCGACGTTTGGAGTTCTTCGAAGTTTAACGAGGCAACCCCGGATGCAGAACGAGTGCCGTGCTTCGACGATTTAGTAGAATTTCCGGCTGACAAAGTGTTTACAATAGCTCTGCCTGCGGAAACGCAGGTTGTCAGAGGTATACATTTCGGAAGTGAAGCATACGATACTGGTTCGTTCATGGAATTTGTAACGGAATCACAACAATTTATTTTGAATGAAAATCAAGTGACAGGTGTAGTAATAAAGTACGAGCAGTGTAAATCTCGCAGCGGTTGTCCGTGTCAGGAAAACCCACTTAAAATAGACTGTAATGCCAAGTTTTGTCCAGTGCCAGCGTGCGTTGATCCGATACAACCAATAGGCCATTGCTGTAAGATGTGTGGTGGCGTGATTGCGTTTGATGTGGACCAGAGCTTTGATATAATGAATTTCAAAGAACTGGTAGAGACAGTGGTAGATAGCTACGGAAAAGATGATTTAGTTTATTACATAGGTAGAGTGGGAGATAAGGTCCAATTAGTAGTGATAGATAAGGGCGAATATTCAGGCACTAGTGCTGAAGTCGTTAATGATATCGACCATAGTATGGAGAAACATTGGGTGCAAGGGCTTAAAGAATCTATTATAAGTGGTAGCCCATTATACAAATATGGATTGGGAGGAAAGATTTTTATATCCATGTTCTTTGTCGTCGTGGTTTCTTTGGGTGGAATCTACGCTTATTACTATAAACTACCAGATGTAAGCTTCCCGACTATTGGAGGCCCAGCTATGTTGTCTCGTTATCAACGCCGATCGGATAGTGTAGTATTATTGACGAGGAGAGATTCTGTGATTACCACTCGATCTGGGATTAGTACAGCCTTCAGGAATCCATTGTATGATTCAAAGAGAGGTAGGGTAGTAATTGATGATCCTAATGAGGATTAGTGAGGATTGGTTAGTTCTATTATTTTATTCATTATCTCATTTTATTTTTAACTGGACAACCTGATGTACGTTGTAGCAGAAAACTTAACAAAAACTAAACCACTATCATTCAACTGTAATCTGTGGTTTAATGGAACTGGTTCATGCGAAAATTAAATTGTTTATTACAATTACTCATTACATAACTATGGTTGTTATATAAACGGAGAGATATAGTCTTTTTTTTGTAATCCTTCAAAACAAAAAACATTTCGAAATGTGAGCTTAACCCAGGCTTTCTTAGTTTTTAAGATAACAAACAAAATAAATAAAACATCTATATAACCCTTTCACTATGACAATTGTCATCTCAGTTTCTACATAGTCTGTATCGTAGGACATTTTTATTTTCTGAGAATGTACCATAAAGTACTATTTTACAGTATGACCTAGTGTTGCTAAACACAATTCAAATAAAGCTGTTCCCTCTCTCTGAAACCTTGTCAGGAAACAAACATTCGAACAAAACAATTTAAGCCTATATAACTATGAAAATAATACCGTAGTAACCAGACACTCGGCAGTACTGGGTTGGAGCATTCGCGACTGAGCCCTTTGAATTCCGACTCAATCAATAGTATTGGGTTTCTTGAAAACAACTCAAAAGACACCACTGTCATGAGCATCGTTAATCATCTTTAAACGCTGTTCGACTAAAGTAAGCGCGACAAGAAAATGTCTACTTATTCATTTATAATAAAAACGATTAGCGCCTATTATGTATAATTTTGTACAACATTAATTGTTACATAGTTATTAAGTTTATAATTATTTGGTTAATTAGTTTCAAAAAGCCATGTTATTTCGTTCTTGTTTATATTTCTTTTTTTTTAAATATACATCTTTAATTCATTTATTACATATTCAATTATATGTATAGATGAGAAGGTTCCTACGAAATATATATATGAACTTATAGAGATTTTTGTACGAATGAATAGTATAAAATGTATTTGTATATAAATATTAATTCGTTGTTTGGTCGCTACTATATCAACACAGTTTTGGCAAAGTAAGCTTTTTAAATTCAACTGTAGAAATTAAACAAAGGGATATTTTGGTTGTGTTTTTTTTCTAGTTTTAATAAATATTAAATATCGTGCATTATTATATTCGACGTAAAAAACAGAGGTCTACAGAAAACATTACCTAGAAATTTTATTTATTTATCGCTTAGATAGTTTATAACACCATATATATCAGTTACACTTATTTGAAGATTATTTTAACAACGGCCCGACGTTTCGAATGCTCTGCAGACGTGGGGGCTTCCAGTGACCACTTGTACCAATATATATCGCGTTTTCAACCGTTAAAGTGTTTTATTCAGATATGTAGTATTCGCGTAAACTACAAGTATTTACTTGAATGGTTAATTGGCAACACATAACAAAAGCCTTAAACCTTAAATCTGGTGGCTACAAGATATATAATCGTCTCGTTTCTATGCCGCTTAACTGTTTAATTTACCTTGAAGCATGCCTTTGTAGTTGTAAAGGTTTGACGTTATTGTTTCTTCCATTAAAATTACAACTTAAACTAAACCACTAAAGACGAAAGCAAAAGGTACATGCTAGTAAGCTGGTATTGCTTGTCTAATGTTTTGGAGACGTTTAGTCGCACTAACTTTAGTCAAACGTCGTGTACAGCTCAGCAGAACAAAGCGGGTACTCACGAGCGGTAATTGTCGCCGGCATTGTTTCGAATGTTGATTTATGTACACTCCGCGATACGCGTCGCGCCAGAATGTCAAACGGTACCCTTTCACGATGACAACTGTTAAAAGAACATGTCAAAGGCTTTGTTTGATATTTGGAAATTTGATTGTTTCAGTCGCATTTTGAAAGACATTATGGCCTCTTTGAGTCAGGGTTACCTATTCTCTTAAAATATTGATTGATGTTATTTACCTCACCTATACTACTATTATAAAGCTAGACCGTTTGTTGTTCGAGTGCGCTAACCTCAGGAACTACTGGTTAGAAGTGGAAAAATATTTTTCTGTTCGTTAGAACGTTCATCAAGGCGCGCTTTAGGGTTACAATCGCGCTTCGACCGAGGAGCGAAGAATCAGAAGGAAAATGTGAAAAAAACAGGAAAATTTTTCTTTAAGGTTTTCCGTTGCGTCGCTGCGGAATCGATTCAGGATACACAAAAAATAAGATTATATCTATAAAATAATTAATTTTTAAATAGTGTAAAAAAAATGTCCGGATACTATTGGGACCTCTTAGATTAAGTAAACACGTTTTTGGTGATTAAATTTGTTCAAAATAATAATATGGCAAAAAAACTATTTTGCGATGAACAATCAGTGCAACGATTACAGTTATATTTTGCCCCATGCCCCAATGGGACATGGGATTTCTAAATTAATGATAAAAAAACGTATATATATAAAATATTTTCGTATATTATTTTAACACAAAAATAAAAAGTCATTAGGCGTGGAATGCTACGTTCGCTGTGACTATTATTGTTTGTTTGAAAAATAAAAATATGTCCGACCATAAAACGGGCGATATAAAAGTATTTCAAGTATTGAACTAAAACGTATATATCAAATGTTGAAGGAAACGTATGTTTCGGCTAATAATGTGTAGCCACAATGTAAGCGTTTAAGCACAGGATTCACTTGATGAAAGGTGAGGTTCGCCAGTCACAAGGCATCTTAACAGGATGCACTGTCGACCGAAAAAAAAATTCAAAGTAAAAATATTACTTTGAATTTATTATTATTATTATTTAATGACAGACATGGCATGGGGTTCCTGATGGTAGGTGATATACCCCTATAGCATCTAAACAAGATGCGCTGTCGATCTATTTTGGCTTTGGATATTCGGAAGTCTTCAGACTGAAACCGAAACGCGATTAGGCTTCATGGCTTTTTCATCAGAAGACGATGGTTCGTGGCCCGGACGGAATTTCTATATTCCTACCACCCATTAAATATCTAGATTTCCAGGCGAAGTCCAGCATGTTTCAGAAAAATTATAGATTGAAGAATTTGAAAGATGTAGGACCGAATCGAACCCACGACCTGTTGATACATATCTATCATTAGACCACCGAGTCCGTCAAGCTTTTTTAAAACGCTATCAATGACGACCTTCCCCACCGGGCGCATTTGTCACGGTAAGCGCTACAGCGCTTCTAAACGCTTCGTCTTGCATTTTACGGCGCCATAAAGTACGGAGCGTGCTTCTATGACGTTTTATACTTTTTTGCGATTTTCAATATGCTTTAGTGAAATTTATAACATTTATATTACAGCGTTATTTATTGCTTATTGTGCGGAGAGCTGTCTCTGCCCTATATCGCTTTGAGGGCAAATATGTATGCTTCTGTAATTGTATGTGTTAGCTACATCGCTATAAGAGAGGCAGTTGAAATTATAATTGCAATAAAAAAACTATTTTGTGCGATAATTGTCTGTAGTTTATGCGAGTGGTACACATTTAAATGGAACACGTTTAACGGTTTAAACGTGAAATCTATTATCACTTTGCAGTTGACATTAGTTACAACATTACCGTTTGTATGGTTTTCTTTCATTAGTTAAAAGACAAAACTTGTTTTTTTTTAAAGATAAGTAATTTTTTTAATAGGACAAGGCATAAAACGCAACTTTCGCAACGCCCGAGTTGAAATTTTTTTCAATTTATTTTCGATTTTTAAAAGTTACACTAGCTCTAACGGTTAGACCAACAGCACGAAACGCTATAGATGTCGGTTCAAGTCCTACCCGTGTCGTATTTTTTTTATATCTATAATCGATTTTTAATTTATTTTGATTATTCGTACTTCGGTATTCTATAAATCTGAAGGACGGTACACTAACCCTACCTGTTGGATCAGTTCAAACAAACTTTCGATAGCTAATCGAGTTTGTTGTGATATCCAAGTGGTATTTACGTAACAATCTCACCCGAAACTCGAAACGCGGGCCTCCTAACTCGATTACCTCATCTCGATTCGAGAATAATTACGATTCGGGGCGCTAAGTGAATTGAACAAGATGAATAGTCGAGCGATTGTTGCGATAGGAATCGTAATCGTTTTTAAAGTTAACGATTTCTATGGCGAGGGAGACGTAAGAATCGATTACTCCAAGCTGTTGAAGATGTAGATTTTAACGGCTAAGGTTTTGGTTTTGATGTTGATTTTCGTGAATGAATTTGAGATATGCGCATTTTTTTTGAAGATCCAAAGGCGAAATAGGTCGAATCACATTTTGTTTAGATTTAGGCTGGCTGTATATCTATCAAGTAATCTCATGTTGTCTGTCCTCTTCGATATTAAAAAAAACGGAAATATTTTCAAAATTAATATTAAAAAAATACGTTTTAAATACGTTATTATAAAAAAGTCCCTATTTATAACACTTTATTTAAGTTTAGTAGTTACCGTAATTAGTCAGCTTAATTTATAATTTATTCTAATCACGGTCCGACGTTTATATGTCAAGCCACGTCGATGGCTGTTGTAGCATTTTTATTAAATCAATTATATACATTTTTGACTTCTGAAAACTCTAGATTCCTATTTCAACTACAATCCAACATTTCTAAAGCAACAGCCATGGTCTCAGGAGAAAGATATTTCGCCTTTAAACCGTTTGAAACACTTTATTTTAACTCGCGTAAACTGTAGACGATAATTATTTATTTATTATACTCGGCATATCTTATCGGCGATATCTTAATCAAACTATGACCCCGTGACCAGGTTTTTTGTGTCAAATGAACTGTCCCATTGCCCATGTGCAAAAGAGTGGCAACAGCGTTTCTTTAATTCTCTACACTTACTTTTTAAAGCACTTGCACTAGTTATTTGAAAGTAACTCTCTGGTTTCGTATAGAACTGGTTTCCTTTCAGTCGCCAACGTTCAGAGAGTTTTCAAAGCTCAGTCATGCGTTCCCAAACCTACAATACCTGTGTTCCGTGAATATGTTGTA